GCCCGCCCGCCCGCCCTCCCTCCGTCCCGTTCTCCCTCACTCTCTGCCTCCCCATCTCCCTCCCTGCCTCCCTGCCTGCCTGCCTCCCTGCCTCCCTGACTCCCTGCCTCCCTGCCTTCCTGCCTCCCTGCCTCCCTCCCTCCCTCCCTCCCTCCCCACCTCCTCCCATCCCTGCCGCCACCTCCTCCTCCTCCTCCTCCTCCTCCTCCTCCCCCTCCGCCTCGTCCTCGTCGTCGTCCTCCTCCTCCTCCTCCTCCTCCTCCTCTTCTGTGTCTTCTTCTTCTTCGTCTTAATATCCGTCTTGTTCTTATACGTAGTAATAGTATTATTATGATTAGTAGTATTAGTCTTCTTCGTCGTCTTCGTCTTCCTCTGCCTCTTCCTCTTCCTCTTCCTCGTCCTCTTCATCCCCCTCCTCCTCCTCCTCCGCCTCCTGCCTCTCCTCCTCCTCCTCCGCCTCCTCCTCCTCCGCCTCCTCTTCCTCCCTCCTCCTCCTCCTCCTCCTCCTCCTCCTCTCTCCTCCTCCACCTCCTCCCCTCCCTGCCGTCACCTCCTCCTCCTCCTCCTCCTCCTCCCCCTCCTCCTCCTCCTCCTCCTCCTCCTCCTCCTCCTCCTCCTCCCCCCTCCTCCCCCTCCTCCCCCCTCCCCCTCCTCCCCCTCCTCCTTCCTCCTCCTTCGCCTCCTCCTCCTCCTCCTCCTCCTCCTCCTCCTCCTCCTCCTCCTCCTCCTCTCCTCCTCCTCCTCCTCCTCCTCTCCTCCTCCTCCTCCTCCTCCTCCTCCTCCTCCTCCTCCTCCCTCCTCCTCCTCTCCTCCTCCTCCTCCTCCTCCTCCTCCTCCTCCTCCTCCTCCTCCTCCTCCTCCTCCTCCTCCTCCTCCTCCTCCTCCTCCTCCTCCTCCTCCTCCTCCTCCTCCTCCTCCTCCTCCTCCTCCTCCTCCTCATCCTCCTCCTCCTCCTCCTCCTCCTCCTCCTCCTCCCTCCTCCTCCTCCTCCTCCTCCTCCTCCTCCTCCTCCTCCCCCTGCCCCTCCTCCTCCTCCTCCTCCTCCCCCTGCCCTCCTCCTCCTCCTCCACCTCCCCCTCCCCCTCCTCCTCCACCTCCCCCTCCGCCTCCTCCTCCTCCGCCTCCTCCTCCCCCTCCTCCTCACCACCACCACCACCACCACCACCATCATCATCATCATCATGATCATCATCATCATCCATCATCATTCATCATCATCATCATCATCATCAGCAGCAGCAGCTCATCGTCATCATCATCATCACCATCATCATCTCATCATCATCATCAGCATCATCATCATCATCATCATCATCATCATCAGCAGCAGCAGCATCATCATCATCATCATCATCATCATCATCATCAGCATCATCATCATCATCATTATCATCATCAACATCATCATCAGCAGCATCATGATCATCATCAGCAGCATCATCATCATCGTCATCACCACCACCACCACCACCATCATCATCATCATCAGCGTCATCAGCAGCGTCATCACCATCACCATCATCATCATCAGCAACATCATCATCATACGCATCATCCGCAGCATCATCATCATCATCATCATCATCATCATCATCATCATCATCATCCTCAGCAGCATCATCAACAATCATCATCATCAACACCATCATCATCATCAGCATCATCAGCAGCAGCATCAACATCATCAGCAGAAGCAGCATCAGCATCAGTATCAACAGCATCAGCATCATCACCATCATCATCATCCTCAGCATCATCATCATCATTAGCATCATCATCATCATCAGAATCATCATCATCGCCAGCAGCATCCCCATCGTCATCATCACCATCATCATCATACTCATGGTCATCATCATAAGCATCATCATCGTAATCATCAGCACCATCATCATCAGCGTCAGCATGATCTTCGTCGTCAGCATCATCACCACCACCATCATCATCATACTCATCATAAACATTAGCATAACACTCATCATAATCCTCAACCTCACCCACACCACCACGGCCACAATCAGCATCATCATCAGCATCATCATCAGCATCATCATCATCGCCATCATCATCGCCATCACCATCACCAGCATCATCATCACCAGCATCAGCAGCATCATCATCAGCATGGTCATCATCATCAGCATCATCAGTATCATCCTCAGCCTCTTCATCATCATCATCATCAGCATCATCACCATCATCATCGTCATCGTCACGATCATCATCATAGCCAGCATCAGTATCATCATCAACATCCTCATCCTCACTCTCATCCTCATCCTCATCATCATCAGCAGCATCATCGTCATCCTCATCGTCATCATCGTCATGGTCATTGCCATCGTCATCGTCACCGTCATAATCATCATCTTCGTCGTCAGCATCGTCGTCACCATCATCATCATCATCATCGTCATCAGCAGTATCATTATAACCATCGACAGCATCATCATCATCAGCATGATCAACACCACCATCAACATCATCATATTCATCATCATCAACGTCCTGATCCGCATCCTCATCAACATTCTAATCAGCATCATCAGCATCATCAGCATTATCGCCATCGTCTTCATCATCATCAGCATTATCGGTATCTTCATAATCATAATCCCCATAGTCAATCATCGTCATGGTCACTGCCATCGTCACTGCCATCGTCATTGTCATCATAATATTCGTCGTCACCATCATCAGAATCAGCATCATCAGCATTATCATGATAACTATCGTCAGTACTATCATCATCATACTCATGATCATCACCATCATCAGCATCAACATCATATTCATCATCAGCATCCGCATCCGCATTCCCATCCACATCCTAATCAGCATCGTCGGCATCATCAGCATTTATCGTCATCTTCATCATCATCCGCATTATGGTAATCTGCATAATCATAATCCTCATCGTCATCATCATGGTCATTGCCATCGTCATCGTCATCATCCCAATAATCAGCATCATCATCATCATCATCATCATCATCATCATCATCATCATCATCATATTCGAAGTCAGCATCGGCGTCACCATCATAATCAGCATCCGCATTATGATCAGTATCATGGTCAGCATCGTCACCATCGTCATCATCGCCATCATCAGCAGCATCATCATCAGCATAATCAGCATCATCAGCACTATCACCAGCATCATCATAATCATCTTTATCCTCATCCTCATCGTCAATATCATCCTCCTCCTCGTCATCCTCCTCATCCTCATGCTCGTTCTCATCCTTATCATTATCATCCACGTCTTCTTCATCATCATCATCATCATCATCATCATCATCAGCATCCGCACCATCAATTTTATCAGCATCATCATCATGATCAACCTCATCGTTCTCACCCTCATCGTCATCCTCCTTATCATTCCCAGCATCATTGCCATCATCATCATCGTCATCACCGTCATCACCGTTATCATCATCATCATCATCATCATCATCATCATCATCAGCATCAGCATCATCATCATCATCGTCGTCATCGTCGTCGTCGTCACCGCCATCGTCATCACCATCACCATCATGACCATCATCATCCTCATTTTCATCCGCATGCGCATACGCAGCCCCTATCGTCATCCTCATCCTTACCCTCCATCCTCATCTCCATCTTCTTAGTCTTCGTCCGCCTTGCCCCTCCCCCCCTCCCCGCGCGAGCGCTCCTGCGCGCGCGGGGGGCGCGCGCGAAAGGTGCTCTCTTCTCCCCATCCATCTCCCATCCCTGTCTCTCCTCCAGCAGGAGCACACGGTTGGCGAGGCCTTGCCTGGTGCTGCAGCACGGTCTTCAGCCGACTCAAGTCGGCGGACACTGTCCGAACGGAAGGGTCAAGTCAAACTCAGGGTCCTCTTGGTTACGTTCGCCTTGGCCGAGGTGGGCGATGGAGGGTGACCGGCCCAGGAGGGGGAAACATTGACGTGGAGTCTGGCCCCGCCGCATCTGCTGAGTCCACCACGCCGCGTGACCGCTGCCCACCCGCGGGTTGCTAGCGGCTCGGCGCGGAGGGGGGCACGGAGAACGAGGAGGCGGAGGCCAGAGGAGGAGGAGGAGGAGGAGGAGGAGGAGGGGCGAACGTCGGGAGGCCAGAGGAGGAGGAGGAGGAAGAGGAGGAGGAGGAGGAGGAGGGGCGAATGTCGCTTTGCGGGGACGTCATGTCGGGCTAGGCGCTGCCGAACGCCGCCCAACAGGTCCGCAGGGAGCCTCAGAGCGTGCCGAGCGGCGCAGATGCAGGAGGAGGATGGGGACCAGTACGAACACAAAGTTCTTTAACGATGTTGCAGTAAACCCTCCTTCTAAATTCCGGTTTCGTAGGCTCCTCGAAAATCGATCTTCACTGCGGGAAGAGCCCCGTTGAAAGACCGTTTGGACGTCTACAACCGTGCCAGCGCACCATACCTGGGACTCGAAAGTCGCGAATCAACGTTACCGCTGCGACCTGACGGTCCTACATCTTACCAGAGCACTATTTCCGAAACCACGCCGAAGGAGGAGGGGCAGGGACGCCCACCGACGAGGGGGGGAAGAGGGAGGTCCAGAGGTCCTTGCCGAATCCTGCATCTTTACAGGTCATGCACTTTCTCGCCCCGCTTGCCCCTCGATCAGTCAGGCGCGGCGGGGCTCCTCAGGTCCGCCACGTACCAAAAGGCCACGCCAGAGGAGATGGAGGAGGAGGAGAAGGAGGAGGAGGAGGAGGAGGAGGAGGAGGAGGAGGAGGAGGAGGAGGAGGAGGGAGAGAAGGAGGAGAAGGAGGACGAGGAGGAGGAGGAGGAGGACGACGACGAAAAGGAGGATGAGGAGGATGAGGAGGAGGAGGAGGAGGAGGAGGAGGAGGAGGAGGAGGAGGAGGAGGAGGAAGGGGAGGAGGAAGACGACGCGGGCAAGTTCCGCGCCGTCTGGGGGCGCGGGGCCAGCAAAGGCTGGCACGGCCACCCCCCGCACGCCCGCAGCCTGCGGAAGGGGGGCCCGGCAGCTGCGGCAGCCGGCGCGGGGAGACCCGAGCTCCCAACCAGCCGGCCCTCCAGCGCGGGCAGGACCGGCACTCGACCGCCCTTGAGCCTCCAACGTTCGGGCCTGCCTGGGGCCTGGCAGGAGTCGTCGGTCGACCTGTACTCTCCCGCGCGCCACTCGCACCTGCGGGCGCGGCCCTGCGGGCAAGACCCCGGCTCGCCCTCGGAAGCGTGGCGACTCCAGGAGGAGCAGGGCTCCTCGCCGTCCGCGCGGAGGAACCAGCCGTCCTTCCGCCGCCCCGTGCTCGCTGAACCCTGCTTCTCGTGCTTGGTCCTGGCCCACTGCGGCGCCAGCGCCGAATCAGAGGCGCCCGCGAGGGCCGCCGCCGGCTCCGCCGGGGCGCCTGCGGGCGCCGGGCCCGCGGGCGCCTGCAGGCGCCACGCGGCACAACTTACCCACGAGCTCGTACCACCAATTGGCATACGGCCCCGCGTCGGACTTGGCACTTTCCATGGCCACCGCCTCCCACGGGCGTTCGGGCACGGAGCTGCCGCGGCAGGCACGCTCAGCGACCTCCGATTCGATGCGCCTGCGACTGCGCCCCCATCTCTCGGACCTCATCTCGTCATTCGCGCGGGAGAGGATGCCCGAGTGGCTCGGGAAAGCCACGCTGGGGAGACGCCTCCCCTCCCGGGCAAGCACGCCTGCAAAATGAGCATGTCAGTGCGGAGCGCCCTCCAACACTGCCTCCACGCGTCGAAGGAAGCCGGGCCTCTACCTGGCGCATCACAAGCTCGCCCCCCACGAACACCTGCGCGCGAAGCAGAGCAGTTTTTGCTGCTTTCCGAACGGCCCCCAGACCGCCAGGTCAGCGTAGGGCGCGGAATCCTCCCCCAGCATCGCCGAGAGCGCCGACAGCTGCTCGTGGGAGGCCTCCTCGGGCTCCCAGGGAGGCCCCCCCTGCGCTTTCTCGAGCTCGACCGCAAAATGGCGAAGCTTGGGCCCCGGGGGCACCTCGGACCCACCATCATCACCTCGATCGACGAACTTCGAGAGCTTGAGCTTCCGCGTGGAATTGGTTCGCCGCAGCCGCGGGGCCCACGACCCCATGCGGCAACGCTGCGCTGCCCTCCGCGGGGCTCCTGCCGCTATAAGGGTCCCGAAGTCGGGCGGGCGCCGCGCCCCCGACCTCGGCGACCTCGGCCTGAGAAAACGAGCCAGGGAGCCTCTCTGCAGACCTGCGAGAAGGGTGCCATCCAGCGTGCACTGACTACCTACCAGACCACCCCAACCCAACCCGAAGACCCGAATTTGACCCGAATTTCGGGTTGGGGGGGGGGTACGGGTTCCATGTGTTTTTCTCAATGTTCCCCGACCCCCCCCCCACTGGAAATCGAGGATAAATTTGGGCCTTCGGGTTGGGTTGGGGTGGTTTGGCGGGTGGTGATGCACGTGTCAAGGGCTTCGTGAAATCCGCCGTGCGCAGCTTCAGCAGGTCCGTCTCTGACAACTCCTCGCAGAGGTGCCCCCGAGCTGCTCCACGGAGGCGGACACTGTCGCGGGGTTTGCGCCCAGGGTGGCGGTGAGCGCATGCCCCCGAGGAAGCACGGAGGCTGGCGGCCCGACGGTTTCGGCTCCCAGGCCGACGACCGCGGGGCGGGCTGCTGGAGTAGCAGGCAGAGAATCCCCTCCAACTGCCGCGCAATCCTCCCCCAGACACGCCATCGGATGTCCCCCCAAATGGGTCGAGGGAAGAGTGGGGCCCTCGTCCCCAAAACCCCCAAAGTCAAAATGATCACGGTGCCATCGGCCGATCCATTTGTTCCTGCGTGCATCCGTGCCTTCCCCCGCCCTAGCGCTGCCAGCGATAAAAATACAAAATCACAAGTTCCAGGCAATTGCAAAAAGACTTCCACACACTCATCATCCCCCTCCCCCTCCCCCTCCCCCTCACCCCCTCCCCCTCCTCCCGCATCCTCCTCCTCCTCCTCCTCCTCCTCTTCCTCCTCCTCTTCCTCCTCCTCATCCTCCTCCTCTTCCTCCTCCTCATCCTTCTGCTCCTCGTCCTCCTCCTCCACCTCCTCCTCCTCCGTCCTGCTCGTTATCCTCATCTCCCCCTCCTCCCCCTTTTCATATTCCTCCTTCCTACCACCTCCTGCCCCTTCTCAACAGCCTCAACCGCCCGCTCCTCTTCCTCCCCCCTCCAGCTGGGCATGGCTGGGCGAAGGGCGGCTGGCATGTGGCATCCCGGAACGGCATGAAGGACGGGCAGATGCCTGGCCGGCGCCCATTCGCCCCGCCTTCCCTGCCTCAACCATTCCCGTCCACCCCCCTTACTCGTAAAACCAACAAGTACCGATACTTACACTCCCCGGACCTCGCCCGAGGTGCGTTCTGACCAGGATTTCGAGGCGAATCCAGCGGTGCGACGAGGGCCACCCAGGAGGCTCAAACATAGGAAAACGGGCGAAGGGTAGCGCGATGGGTACCCTTTCCTCCTCCGACTTACATCCACTCCACTACCCTCCACTCCATGTCTTTGGACGCCCTGACTGGGCACGGAAAAGATGGGTACGATGCCCAACAACAACGATTGTCCAAGACAGACAACGGCCGCTGTTGGGCAGTCGGCCTTCTGTCTCAAATGGACAACGTCTGCGGCGGCTCAGACGGCGAGTCCCGTTCAAAACGACCAGGAACTGCTGTTGAGCATGTGAGCGTTGTCTTTTTCAGAGCTTCGACATTGGACGGAAGGGGGGGGAGGAGGGGGTCTGGTTCAGGACCTCTGCTTAGTGCGAATTTGTGCAACAGTGCGTCCTATGGCGGAGACTCCGCCTGCTCGAAACAGGCGCAACAAAAACAGCCAAGATCTACTCCATGGGGCGGGGGGAGTGGGTGGTGCGAGGCCCCGCGAGCATCGGCAAAACAATGAATAAGAAAACGACGACCATCATCGTAGCCATTCTGTCTGTACCCACGTCGCGCGAGCCGAATGTCCCTCCCCGTCCCTCCCATCCAAGTCCCTTTTCTTCTGGCCCTCCCGCATCCTCCTTCTCCTGCTCCTCCCCCTCCTCCTCTCCTCCTCCTCCTCCTCCTCCTTCTCCTCCACCTCCTCCTCCTGCTCCTCCTCCCGCTGCCCTCCCATCGCCTCCTCTCGCCAGTCCGAGTGTGTGTGTGTATGCAAGTATGTGCATGTGCAGGTGTATGTGTATGTGTATGTGTAGGTATATGTATGTGTGTGTATGTGTATGTGTATGGGTATGTGTATGTGTATGTGTATGTGTATGTGTATGTGTATGTGTATGTGTTTATGGGTATGGGTATGTGTATGTGTATGTGTATGTGTATGTGTATGTGTATGTGTGTGCATGTGTATGTGTATGTGTATGTGCATGTGTATGTGTTTGTGTATGTGCTTGTGTATGTGTATGTGTGTATGTGTGTATGCATGTATGGATGTATGGATGTATGTATAGACGTGTGTATGTGTATGTGTGTATGCGTGTATGGTTGTGTATATGTCTGAATATGTGTGTATGTACATGTGTATGTATGCGTACGTGTATATGCATACGCATATGTGTATGTATACGTATGTGTATGTGTATGTGTGTATGAGAATGTGTATGTAAATGTATATGCGTGTGAAAATGTGTGTATGAAACGTGGTTGTAGCTGCAGTTGTATGTGTATGTGTACATGTCAATGTATGTATGGGTATGTGAAGAGGTATATGCAAAAATACATGTATATGTGGATGTACATGTACGTGTGTATGTAGATGTATGATTGTATGTACCAGTGTATGCGTATATGTATGTATGTATGTATGTATGCATGTATGTATGTATGCATGTGTGGTTGTACGTATGTTTGTATGCATGTATGTATGCATGTATACATGCATACATGCGTGCATGTAGGCATACATGTTCATGCATGCGTGTACGTATGCATGTATGTGTGTCTGTATGTACGCATGTAGGTATGTATGTGTGTAGGTATGTATGCAGGTACGTATGTATGTATGTCTGTTGTGAATGTATGTGCGCACGTATGTATGTATGTATATGCGTATGTATGGACGCATGCATGCATGTGTGTATGTGTATGCATGCATATGTGTATGCATGCTTGTTTGTATGTATGTGTGAATGTATGCATGTATGTATGCATGTAGGTATGTATGCATGTGTATGTGCATGCATGCATGCAGGTATGTGTATCTAGGCATTAATGCATGTATATATGCATTGATATACGGGTGTATGCCTGTATGCATGTATGTATGGATGGATGGATTGGTAGATATAAGGATGGATTCCTGGTTGCATGGATGCATGTGCGTATGTCTGCGTGCATATATGTATACGTGCATGTGTGAATGCATGGGGATGCATGCATGTGTAGTGTGTGTGTATATATGTGTATGTGGATGCGTGCGCGTGTGCGTGTGCATGTGTGTGCATGGGCTCGGTCGGGGGGTCCGCGGGCGGCTCGTCGATCGAGGCGGGCGGGCAGTGGCACGCTCGCCGCGTCTCGCCCTTGGGGCAGCCGGAAGCCACTGCTCTCAGCTGCGCATTGGCTCTGTGCGCAAGGCACACCGTCGCTACACGCTCATTTTCTGCTGGGCTGGTCACGGTCGGCGAGCAGGGCTCTCATCCGCTCGGGCCCCTTCCACGGAAGGCCCCAGGACGCAGAAGGTGGCAGTTCATGACAGTCCTCCTCCTTCTCTTCCTCATCCTCCTCCTCTTCCTCCTCTTCTACCTCTTCCCTCCTTTCATGTCTCCTTACACACGTATAACTCCAAGAAGCAAGAATCACTGAAGCGTCGTCCAGGATTTGAGCGATCTTGGAGTTCGTCGCTTTTGTAAGGTTCTGACGGCCCACGACGGCCCAAGAGAAGAGGCGTCAAAAAGGATCCCAACACAGCCCAAGAGGCACCCAGTAGGCCCAAAGACGGGGCAAGAAAGCCCCAAGATGGCCCAAGAGAGCCCCGAGACGGCCCCAAGATGGTCCAGAGACAGCCCAAGAGGACCCCAAGAGGGCCCCAAGTGGGCCCTACAGAGCCCCAACAGGTCCGCAAGACAGCCTCCGAAGGCGTCAGGAGAGACAAAAGCTCCTTAAGGCGGCCAAAGGGAGCCCCTAGCAGCCGGAAGAGGCCTCTAAGGCCAAGGATCCCAGGAGGGTTTCAGAGAACCCCACAAGACCACCAACTCCTCCTCCTCCTCCTCCTCCTCCTCCTCCTCCTCCTCCTCCTCCTTTGAGCTGCGAGCTGTTGGCTAGAGCGTCAATCCGACGCAGCCAACCTTCCCTCCACCTCCTCCTCCTCCTCCTTCTCCTCCTGATCCTCCCATTTCTTCGTCCGTCTCCTCCTCCCTTTTCCTCATCCTCCTCTACCGTTCTCCTCCTCCTCCTGTTCCTCCAGATCCTCCAGATCCTCCTCCAGTTCCTCCTCATCCTCCGCCCCTTTTCTGTTCCTCCTCCCTGTTCCCTGTTCATCCTCCTCCTCCTCCTCCTCCTCCTCCTCCTCCTCCTGCTTTTCCTCCTCCCCACTCCTCCTCCCCCCTTTTCCTCCTCCCCCATTCC